AAAGTGAGGTTGGGCGAAGAACGGACGGCGAAAAAAAAAAAAAAAAAAAAAGTGAAATGACCAGAAAAAGATGCGAAAATTAATCTGCCAAAGGAAAGGCTGAGCATGCGAGCATGGGTTGATGTTATCTATAGGAGGGGGTAACCAGAAGAAGTGAGAGTAAATTGAGGTGAAATTTCCATATATTTTATTTCCGTCGACTTTAGTGTTTCTGTTTTGCGCCACGGGTATATTTACCCATCTACTCGAGTATGGAGCCTATTGGGGGCTCGATGTACACGACCAAGTTACATATGTTTGACCAAAAACAACAGAAAGCAGATTATGTGATGATCTATTAAGTTTTTTTTTTTTTTTTTTTTTTTTTCAAATTGTAAGCAGCCTAGCTGTATTATACAAGACAAAGTAGTAGGAAAAACAAGACAGAATAATCGGAAACAGTTTCTGCTCATTCCTCCCAATGAGAAGCATCACCCCCCTCCCCCAATGTCCTGATTTGACACTTTACCACCAACCCAACCTGGGGAGCAAATTCAACGATGAGCCGTCGTCCAAACCAAAATGCTTTCTAAGAACATGTTCTTCAAGCCATGGTATATACACATTCTGAAGCGCCTGTTCCGGGCTGGGTCGATTCTTGCGAGTGTAGCGGTCCGTCGCCCAATCGTAACCCTGCTCCTGGTCCAAGAGGCGTATACACCGGCGCGTATCGGCAAAAAGCCCCGACTCGAGTCGTGCCGAGTCCCAGAACACGCAGCCGAGCGCTCTCATGGGAAAGTAGACTGCTTGGTCGTCCTCAAAGCGTCCAATGGCAGACGCATAGTGCTTGACGTAGCTCGCACTCGCCTCTGTGCCGTCGTCAGTCGACGGCCCCGTCAGTGTGCAGAGAGCCTGATCTTGTCGCAAAAAGGCCAGGGCTGTGTAGAGAGGATCGTGCTTGACGGTGTATTTTCGAAGCAGTTTGAGCTGCGTCATCTGGTCGCCGCGCGCAAACTCGAGCATGAAGCCGAGGCCGGCGGCAATCTTGGCGCCCTCGCCGTGGTCGTCGATTTTTCGAAAAGCGGTGGAAAAGTGGTGAAAACTGCCAAACTGCAGCACAGACAAGTCGGCAAGCGTCCAGGGACTTGCGCAGCTCTGCAAGGCGAGGTGCTTGAGACGGGGCTCTGGCTCGAGGCTTCGCGCGAAACTTTCAAACCTGCCGTCGAGACCGTCGCATGCGGAGCGGATAAAGCGCGTCAGGTACTGGTGGATGCAGGCAATGGCCTCTACTTCCCAAATCTCGAGGTTCGAGAAGAAGAGATGGTGCTGGTCTTTGCCGCTGTATCTTCCGTGAATCCGAGAGCGCGTGGGTGAAGGGTGGAACAGCACGCAGGACAGCTCGAATTGGATAAAGGCTCGATAAAGTCGAAGCCTCTCGGGAGCTGAGAGACCAAATTCTGTAGATGATGGCTCATCATCTGTAGGCCCATTGACATGATTCTGCACTCGCTGTCTGTATATTTGTTGCAGACTCCGTGCCTCTGCTCCCACAGTCTCTGTAAAATCTTTGACGAACCATTCAATCTTGTGCACAATGCCTCGGGCCAGCTTGAAACTCCCTTGCCAGATTGGCAAATCGGTCGGCAGGGCACCGTGAAAGTGCTGGTCCAGAAACGTCTTGACCTCGAGCAAGTCTGTTGCGGGCACCGTGCTCCTGTCAGGACCACCAAAGTACTGAGTGGCCAGGTGAAGGGCGCAAAAGTCTGGCCAGAGGGGCGCAGGAATAGCCTTTTGAATCGCAGAGGTTTGGTAAGCCACTGGCCTGCGTCTATAGACTCTGTAGCATCGCGGTGATGCCGAGATGAGATTCACGAGATCTCGAGACGAGTCGATAGACTTGAGAATAAGATCGACTGGTATACATGGCAGTCGGCGGAGTTGCCCCGCCATGTTTGTATCCTTTTTTTTTTTTCGAGTTGTAGTCGTGTGTGTGTTGTGTGTGTTGTGTGTGAGATGATTGGTGGATGGTGTCAAGAGGTTGATAAAGGCTTGATCAAGTGTAGCAAGGTGCAACAGTCTAGCTCCTACAGCAGTAGAATAAACGATGAATTGAATCTCCAGCATTTCCATTGACTTTTGGCAACGCAGTCGCTTTATATATAAAACGAAGAGCCAAGAATCAACCTGACAGCAATTTGTGGCTTGTCGATGGCGTCAAGCCGCTGAACCCTTTTCAACGGCAACAACTCTATTACAACTGTTGATCAAGGAGACTTTGAAAAGCCAACAAGCATCTCTCTCATCTCCTTCATTCAAGCTTATGTGGCTCTTTCATTCAAGCTTATGTGGCTGTCATCATGTCCAACACCTCACGAAGCCTTTTTGGCCGCATCAGCCCCCCCGAGCCCGAGCAAACTCTTTTTCATCCGCGCCTGCGCCTTTGCCAGCTCCGCCTCCAAATCACAGTTCCAAATCTCTCGAATAGACCCGTCAATAGCCTCGCGGAGCTTATCCAGGTCGTCATCATCCCCCACGCCGGACCAGTGCAGCAGGTCCAGCAGCTCGCCCTGGCGGCGGCCGTGGTGCTGTACAAACCTGGTGCGCGGGCGGCGCACCGACTCGTACGCCGCAAAGGCGGGTAGCAAGTCTTGTTTGGAGCGGCACGCACCAAGCATGTGGGAGAGAATGTGTGCGTCCTCGAGGGCCTGCCCGGCGTCGGCGCCTTGGTGTGGCGCGCAGGCGTGGGCGCTGTCGCCGAGGAGGAGCAGACGAAGCGGCTCAGACGTGAATGTGGGAATGTCTTGGGAGAGGTCAAAGATGCCCCGTTGATCGGTATTTTCCATGAGCTTTTTTTTTTTTTTTGGAGAAACGTTAGCGAATCATCGTATATAGATAGTGCTGGAACTAGCTTACCGAAAAGATCTTTTGGCAGTCTGGGCCAAAGTTTCTGAAATCCTCTTCCAAGTCCTCCTTGTTCATTGGCTTGATCCAATTACCCTCCCAGTTTCCATCCTTGGAAGTGCCAAAGGCAAGGACATTCATAAATCTGCCTTTTGCAATCGGAAATATGACAACATGGCCCCCTTTTCCGAGAAACATGTAGCGATTCCGTGCCTTTTCCTCTCCAATCGCCGCAATGGCCCTGTCCATCGGAACCCGTCCCCTGTACGCATACTTTCCCGTAAATACCGGCTGCGTCAGCGGATTGTCCTTTCCCAAGACAAAGTTTCTGCAAACGGAGCGAATGCCATCACACCCGATCACGGCATCAGCCTCGTACGAAACGCCGTCGGCAAACCTCATCAGTGTGCGGTCCCGCGCCTCATCCCGCGTGAGATCAACAAGGCGCTTGCCAAACTCGGCAGCTTCCTCAGGCACAAGGTTCGCCAGCTCGTCGATGAAGCGCGCCCGGTGAGCGGTGCTGTGCCTCTCGTGCGGGCCGAGCCGGGGCGAGCAGACGGCTGTACCCGCAGGCTGGCCGTGCAGGTCCTGGCCGAGGACAAGGTCAAAGTAAGTGTCCTCCTTGGACGCCCAGCCGGCAGTGGTCGAGATGCGGGCATAAGCATCGCCGATGGCTGGGTCGATGAGCGACATGGCGCGAATGGCGTTGGCGCCAAAGAAAACGCCCCCTTTGCGTCGGAAAAGTCAGTCATGGAAATAAACTTTGTCGCAGAATTTTTATTTTTATTTTTCAGATGCGCATATTATACCTCCAATGTCGAAGAATTGCGGCGCGGCTTCAAAGATGCGGACTTTGATGTGGCTGTACTGCTGCAGGCCGATGGACAGGGCCAGGCCGCCAATGCCACCACCGATGATGGCAACATTGATGGGCTTTGAATCGTCCGTCGCTGATCCCATGATGCTTGATACATGTGTATTGTGTACAGAATATTTACGAGCCACTCGCCAAGGTTGGATGTCGTCGAAAGAGACAATTGCCGGCCAGCAGTCGCCGCAGCCAACTGAGGGCCACTAGTTGTCGATGCAGGTTGCAGGAGCTGCAATTTGTTACCCACTGGTTTTCTTCTGGTAGCAGTATAATAAGCCAAAACATTCAGCTATGAGGTGCCAAATTGACGGATACGTCTTTTTGAAGAGCAGCAGTGAAAGGAATCATTTTAAAAAGCATGCAATGCGACAATTATTCTATTTACTTGGCCAGAATTATATCTCGATTGATTACATTTTGTCAGGCTATACTGCACCTCGTATTTGTAGTAGCAGATGAAATGTCTATCATCTCACTATGGCTATACCTTTTTCTTTCTTGAAAAAAAAAAAAAAAAAAAAAAAAAAAAAAAGAAGAATTATCGTAATCAGACTCCAAGTTATATTGACTCACGTTACTAAGCTACTCAACGCTACAATTATTTATCAATTTGACTCGTTACAACCCGACGCAACCTTCTTCAGGGACAAGTAAGGACCTAACGCAAAAACAGCGACCATGGTGATCCAGACACCTACTAATATCTGTTCGTATTGTAATAAATTGGCCAAAGGGGTGTCATGATCGACATCAATACACTATTCTTTTGCATTATAATCACAGCGGTATAAGCATTGTGTTTGACTTTAGTAATGGCGCACTTGTGCTTGAGCAGCTCTTCGTATGTAATAGGATGCAAATTCGGAGGATATACCGCACTCCCCTTCTTGGGCCACAATTTGCATTTCAATTAGAATTCGCCCGTCTGGATACGTGCCAAAGAGGATGCGAGGCGAGATGAGATTCACGAGATGTCCAGGGGAGAAAATATTTATGAATAAACATCTACAGCATTCGGTGCATCTTCTATAGCTCCCGCTCCTTATCCCTTACTTCGGGCAGGAAACTCGTAATCGCCTTATTCGCATTCGCCCAAGCGTACACGGCGTCAAACTTCCTGCACGTGTGTGGCACAGCCGCCTCCTCCATGGCGCGACCCTTGTCCTCGTGCCACTTCCAGATGATGGGGCTCACGTCGGACGCGCAGGTAATCGACTGCCGCAGCGACTCGAGGCAGTGGTCGATGTGCACCTTACCTAGCGCGCCCTTGTCGCCGAATTCTGTTGGTGGGTATTTCTTGTGGTAGTACTCGGGGTGCAGAGCTTGCCGAATTTTATTCTGGGAATACTTAGCTATAAGTAGAACGGGGACTTGGGAAGGAGGTGGGAAGGGTGAGAGGTACCAGGCAGTGTAGTTGGTGGAATACGGCAAGAGAGACGATGTAGTAGCCAGGGTCGTTGGTAAATGGGTATGTTCCGTTGGGAAGCTTTTCGGCGCTCGACCTTGGGATCCGTGAAATACCGACCACTATTATTGTTATTTCTTGTCAGTAAGAAAGAATAACAGACGGCACCCCATTACTCACCGTCGTACAATTCCTTCCACGCCTTGTCGACTTTCTCCGATGGCTCCTGCACGTAGACGCTCGTCGCCTCGCCCTTTTCAAAGCCGGTGATGAATACCCTCGCTTCATATTCCAATATGTCTTCCGCCGGTGCTGTTGCAAAGATATTAGTCCTGAACATAGTATCTCCCTTTCTGGGGCAAAAAGCAATGTGGCTTACAATATGACATTTGTGGAAAGATGAGGTTGGAGGGCCCCCGTCGGGAAGACTGGTATAGCAGGAAGGCCATCAGGGCAGCATTAATTGCCAGCAGACCTGTGACGAGCTTGAAGCTCCAAAAATACCAGGATCGCCAGGTGGGAGGGAATTTGGCGATTATTTTCTCATCGGTTTGTAGGAGGCTGGATTGGCATTCTTCGTCAGAGTCCGAGTATAGTGTTGCGGGCTCCTTATGCCCGGGAAGAAACGAGGCCACCATTAACACAGCGACTCGGGTATAAAGTTGTTGACTGGAAACAATCAGTGTCCGTTGGTTTCTGAAAAAAAAAAAAGGGAAATCTGTAATGTACGAATGGTCAAGTCACGTTTTCAAACACAATTAATAGGCGCACTCAAGTGTCAAAAACAACCAGTCATAACGCGGCAGCAGGGCTGCACTTGGAGTGCGCCGCTCAGCAACACATCCACGAGCAATCCAAACCACCAGGGAACAACAGGCTGCAGAATTGGCAACCTCAAGCAAGCAAGGCCGCCCGACGCAAGGCCACCCAACGCGAGGCCACCCAACGCGAGGCCACCTGCCGCAACGCAAGGCCACCCAACGCGAGGCCACCCAACGCAAGGCCGCCCGCCAGCAAGTAACCCCCGAATGCTGACCATGCGCTTGCACTTGGTTCTGACTCTTCTGTACCACCCCCACCATATACACGATGGTGTAAGTCGGAGGTGACCCTAACACCCTTACCGGGGGGGGGGTCAACGATGAAAGAAAAATGTGGTCATGATTTGGAAATTTCACTCTTAATGTAAAATCAAATTATCCCTCTCGCCTTTCACTACATTTAGCGCTCACCAGCGCATGTCGATAAATCCGCTCCAGGCGCGAATCGCGACCATGAAAGACGTCGGCAAGCCTACGCTCTACAGGCTTTCCACCAGCGCTCAGCAGTACTTTGCTTCGCCTCTTTCAGCATTCAAAGATATTCTCTTAATATGTCTTTCCATACCAGGCCTGCTCGCACTCCTCTATCCCAAGGCAGTATGTGATACGGGCGGGCCAAGGCAGTCTACTCCTGCAACCGCCAGTCTCGCGGGCCCTACGCCTTTGGGAACCTGCAACTGCGGTACCTCTGTGGCCGAGGCTCGCGCCATGGGCTGCAAATACGACGCTCTCTCCTCCGCGTGGCTCCCCGCGCGCTGCATCGATGAGGAACTCTCCCGTGAGTTCGAGATGGCGGGCCCCGGCCCGGGCGGGCGCTGGAGCTACTGGAAAGACATCAATCTGACCGAGGAGCTGTCTGTGTCTGAGCTTGGCGACTATGCAGACGTGAGTGGCTTCGAGTACCACACGACGCAGGAGTGGCATTTTGTGCACTGCATCTTCTACTGGCGAAAGCAGTACCGGTCGCGATATAACCATATATGGGTGGAGCCGCGGTATAATTCGGAGCATCATATCAATCATTGCACGGGCGTCTTTCGGGGTGGCATGAGAGGCATATCGAGCTCGGGTGTGGCTCTGCGATCGGATCCTTGGCCAGGGTGGCAGTGACACTCTGTGCTGAGGGGTGTGTTATCTTGAATGAGGAATATATCGATATCGAGGCGAAGGTACTTTCACTTGATGAATATAAGGTAATTTGTCCTTTAATTCCTGGCTCTATTCCCCATCACAATCGAATCATGCCGTGGCGCGTGTCACCTGTCTTCTGAAACTTACGGAGGGCTATTTGCGACGACGGTGGTACCGTTGAGCCTATGCAGTCAATGACGAGGTATTGTCGATGCAAACGGTAATTTCTTCCCTTGGGCGTCGATGCGCGATATCTAAATAGCCGCACGGAAGCACTCTAGGGCGCCTTTTGTTGAAGCCGTGGCTGTAGCAGGTTGTGTGGGCCACAGCAACCAGTAAGGTGCTGTTATGCCAACCACTAATCATAAATCGAGGAAGGGAAAAGGCACCCACTTTAGCCCCTATTTCCCATACAAAACGAGGTACCTTTTCCCCAGGACGATTTCTTCCAGTTTAGACACACAACAATAGAATGACGTTGCCCAAAACCTTGTGCCTACCGGTTTCTCATCATCTGCACCTCTGGGCAGCTGACTCACCAATCGTAAGCCCAGAGACTTAATTGCTGAGACCTTTAATCTCGGTGTTGAACACCAACCGTACCGATCTACCCGCGGCCTTGCGTAATGAGTTGCTGCCGTCGATAGATAGCGTATCTTGACCCCGGCGTACTTTTGTTACTTTAAGAACCATCACTATAGACTACTAAAGCCTGTCTAGATCTTACTCTAGTGCGCAGTAAAGACGTTAATAGATACACATACACACATACACACATACACACATACACGCATACACCACAGTGTACTAATATACTAGCCTGTTAGCTAGAATAAGCTGCCTCCAAGCAATAAAAATAGCATACATAGGTGCTAACGTGAGTGGGAAAATTCTCTCTTTTGATTTAAATAAATGACATGTTTTCCAGGCTGTTATATACAGCGAGTCGAACTAGTCTATCCCTCAACGTCTGGAACAAGCTGATATGTTTCCTTCTGTAGTGGTGCTTGTTCACCTGTTAGCAGTGGACCGCCGATCAAGCACGCCACCACCAGGCCATCTAATGTAGCGACAGCCGCCGCAAAGGTCAATACCAGTATCGATAATTGTCTAACGTGTACCGCACTATCCAACATGCAATGTGAGAATTTGCTTCTTTCTTCTCCAAGACAATTTTTCGGCGTAAAAACAATACATACACAAAAGTGTTGATGGCACCTCCAACAATGACGCAGCTGTCCAAGATGCGCTGCAATCTTGCGAGGTTCGCGGTCAACCTCCGGTGCGAGAAGTGAGCAAGTACCATTCGAAGGACGGCCATGGCAACAATCCAGCTGCCAAAACAAATTTGGGCCATTGTGTAGCTAGGCTGTTTTATATTAGATGGATACTTGCTGAGTGGAAGGGAAAACATTGAGAGAGAGAGAGAGAGAGAGAGAG